GTTTTGAATAAAAATATTTTTTAACTTACTCATTCGGTTAAGTGACAACCTGGAAGCTATTTGGAAACTCTTTTCATATTTCTCTGTGGTTATAAATCAACTTCTAAATATTCTAAATAAATTTATTATTATATTCTATTAGTTCTCTATAGTTAATAATATTCCAAATAAATCTATTATTAAGCTTATATTCTAAATAAATCTATTAAATATTTGAAACTAAGGCAGGCGATTATATTTTACACTTTAAATATGTTTTAAAAAATTTGTTTTAACGAAAATTTTTTCATCTTTTTGCAACCAATGTAGTATTAAATAATAAAATTGCAAACGATATTTTAAGTAAAAGATTTTGAACTGAAGCAGACGATTATATTTAACACTTTGAGGTTGATTTTAAATAACTTTCCCGCTTTTAATGTAGAAATGGAATTAGTATAAGTTCACTAACCTACTTGGAGAAATTGTAATTTGAATGTACTAAAAACAGTGATAATGATCGTTAGTTTAATTACAAAATTTACAACAAGTGTTTCAATTAAATGCGGGATATTTCAGCTGCGTGTATTTTACTGAAGCGAAATGTTTACTGTGAAGCATTGTCAGAGATAGGATGCTTTAAAGATAAATAAAGTATGCTTTGTTAAACTTATAGCTCATTTTTTTACAGTTCTATTAACATTCGTAATTAAATTTAATTTGAATTCAGTTTTCATTATACAAACAATATATTCCACAAAGACTGTTTTGAAGCTGAAGAAGCTAATAAATCTTTCCTCAGCGTCTTCATATTTATAATACTGGTGAAGTTGTAATATTAATATATTACTCAATAATGGGAAAGTTGAATTAATTTTTCAACTAAGTTTTTTTGGAATTATAGCATTGCTGTAATTATTTTGAACAGTGTTTAAAATTAAAAAAAAGGAAGAACGGAAAAAACTAAAATAATCTAATTACATTTATTCATTTGATTAAGGGAAATATTTATTGGCCGATTTCAACTTTTGATTGATTCTAGCTGAGCCTCACGTATGGAAGAAATTCCACATTTTATTGTTATAAATTATGGGTTATATATAGATAAATTAAAATCTCTTAAAGTTGCGATAGTTAAGTTTTATATGTTCTTTTTTTTTAAAAATTAGTTCAGAATCATATATGTAGAATCTCATGGTTAATATTTGGACAGTGACCATTGAAAATTTCATATCTTTTGCAATTTTACTAGTGAAGTCTTATCTGATGAAATACCAACCAACATAAAACATTCAAGTCTTTTAAAATTAAGAGCTAAAAGCGATTTCAAAACATATGATAAAATAAAGTTTATGCTTTTTCAACCACTAACTCTCGACTTCGTGGTAGCATGTCTAATTTGATGAAGAGCCTCAGAGCTCAAATAAATCTTGCTAGGCTAAATTAAGCCTTACCTATTGAAACGCAGTGCTATAAGCAAAAGCAGAGAGCACGCCGCTCTTTACTATACTCATACTCATAAAGTTTATTTTAAAGAAAAGCAGTTCTAAGTTTCGATGTTTATTTGGCACCTCAAGCTTGCAAAAGCTGTAAATCACAATGAATATTAGATTGATAAGACTCATTATAGATGCAATCAGTCAAAAGTGAATAAATGTAAAAAAAAATTATTGAGGAATATTATAGGTTATAAATGAGCAAAATCATATAGAGCATTGTTACAATGTTAAATTTTATACAGGAATTTTATAATTTTATAGAGCGGTGTGTTCCTTATAAAAATAAGTTTCTTCTACCGACAAAAACTTATATATTTATTATTATTATTATGAAAGAACACTCGTTCAAAACGCTTAACCTAGCAGGCATTACGGCTCTACCTCGGAGACGGTTTTATTTTTAGTTTATCATACAAAAGTTTTTCTTTATACGGCTAACAGAAGCCTCTTTGAAATCACTTGAGAAGAAAAATGTAATAAAGATATCTCTATAAAAAATGGAATTTTCTTTATATAGAATAGTTTAACATATAAACTTAAAATATATTCACTATCAAGAAAGGTTACAGTGACATCAACCTGAAAGAGATCTTGTAAGATACATAATTCATCAAAAGTCAAAGCTTCGTAAGATAAGATAAAAATTCATTTCTCAAGTGGGTAAACTTATAGTTTTTGAAAACAATAAACAACATCAATTTTCACTTTAAAAAGTTAAGAACCCTTAACTTTTGAAAGCCAATTTCTATCTTCTTTTAGTTTCAATTTACAAAGAATTATTGGGCATTTCTGTTTGTTTCATTTAATCGATTTGGAGACATACAATTCTATATGAAAGTTTCATATAGCAATAAATAAGAGTGAAGTTTACAATTTCTTATATCAAAATTTAATTTTAGAGAAATTTCAGCAGACGAACTATTTTTTATTTTCCATTTAAAAGTGTATTAAATAAATAGTGGAAAAGTTTGATTTTATTGGTTCTTCTTTTTTTGTTCATGATAACCAAGTAGCATTTTATTGTGTATACATGTTATTCCTATTATTGTTTTGAAATCGTGATTCTAAATTTCTTAAACAAAACACAAAGAATAATTAAACTAAAGTTATAAAGCTTATTAAACTTCTGTTATTTTCATGTATTTACTTATTTGTTAAATATTTATTAGTCGGTTTTAGAACATTATTAGATTTTCCATCAACGTAAATTTATATTAATATTTTAAAGCAAAATGTTTCTTAAGGACATATTGATCAATGTCAAGACATATTTGATGTATCCATGCTGTTCTTTGCTATATTTTAGAGAAGCAAATAAGTTTTATATATTGAATTTTAACTTATACTTTCAGAAATTACCGTATAAAATTATCAATTTGAAATTAAGAACCTTTTTTTTTGTCTTCTATTCTATAATTTCAAAACAAATTACTCTTAGAAATTAAGCTTATTTTAAAATGAATTACTTTTTATCTGAACGTTGCTGATTATAATTTTAATGTTAGGTTAAATGTTATTACAGCAAGTTATCATGACTCAAAGTCATTTAATTCATCATACTCAATACCAATAAACTGCATTATTGAAAAATTACTATGCATTGTGTTTTAATGAGCACAGATACATTTTAGAGTGTGGAGTGCAGTGATTTTAATAGTTTAGAATTTTTTCAGTGATCTTTTTAAGGTATAGTTTCCCCGTTTTAAGGCATATTTTCATTTTTTTTTCATTGAACAATCCCAAATAAAATATTTCTGTTTAAAATTACAACAAAAAAAATGCTTTAGAAAATTTTTTAAGCAGGATTAAGTTTGAAATTAATAAGTTGTTTCTTTTTAACAAATATTTTGCGTTAATTTTTGTAATTTTTCAACATTGTGATATAAAGAAGGATCATTCCTAAGAAATTAGTTAAAAATAGTATTTTATTATTATTAGTTAAAAATAGTATTTCAAATAACTATTAAATTATAATTTCTTTAAATAAGAAACTCTCGAAATTAAAAACGTTCTGTGTTCCTAATAGAATAATCAAATTACCTTGGGAAATAGTATGGAAATCAATAGAGGGTGTGAAATCATATATTACAATTTTCTTAAATTCATAGAGCAGAATAACTATTAAATTCAATGTAATTTTATTCATTCAAAAGGCTCTGAATTTAATCATTTAGAAATTAAAACGTGCGATCTCAAATTATATTTTCTGTTTCATGTAACTTTTGAAAGCAATCAAATGAAAGGAAACTATTTCTAAAATTAATAACCATTTCAAACGTATTTTGTTTTAATTAATTTAAATCAAAGTGGGAAATAAGTGAAATTAAAGATTTTTATTAAATAAATAAATTTTAAATTATTAGAGATGAAAGGAAGAATCAGAATGCATACATAGCGAAACAAAAATTTAAAAAAAAAATGGTTGGAATATTATAACTTATATCAGATAGGGCCTATCGATTGCATGCTTTTCTGATATAAGGGAGATGAAACTTTTACAGACGAAAGAATATTTCACTATAATGATATTCCAAACATAACTTATTGATACAATTTCATAAGAAATATTGATTATTAAAGCGAAAAAATTATGAAGTATAGGTATGTGATGGGAATTTTATTTTGGTTTGTTGTTACTTCAGAATCTCTTTTTGAGACTTCATTGTGTAGTTTTTTTCTGATTGCGTCAATATTTCTTTAGAAATAAATTTTTGGAGTCAAATTTTCTTTTCACTCTAGAAAAGCTTAACTAATACAGGAAATTATCATTTTGATTCGTTATGGGTAATCAAGAATCTAAATTAGACCTACACTTTAAAAATAAATCGATTTAACGTTATTTTATAATCATCATATTATACAAATGTGTTGTGACCTTTCTATGATGTAATGTTGAACCATAGTGCCCCGAAATTAAGTGTATAAAAGTTACATTGTCAGATAAAGTTAACTATTTTTTATATTAATGCGGACTTTGCATCAACACTTGGCAACCAATTATTTTAACATTGTACTATTGTTTAATAATCATTTTAATTATTATTAAAACTAATCAAACGATGACTTTTTTCGGATTCACGTTTTGTGGAGTATTTATTGATAGGACCGATTTATTTATAGATGAGTCCCCTTTGCTATTTGATACTTCAAGATTTAAAGTAGGAAGATGTGGCACGACTCGGCTTTATTCTCATTAGATTAATTCATTATTCATCATTCTCATTAGATAATAAGATAAAATGATGAGATTAATGAGATAAATAAAGAAATAATGATATTAATGAAATAATGAGATTAATAAAAATTCACCTAATGAAATTTAATTACAAATTTTAGTCCTCCACTGTAAAAAATACTTCTGTATGTTGAGTAGTCAAATTGAGCCTATACTATGTCATGAAATTAATATCACGTGATACCTATCCGATATGATGGTTTAATCTTAGAGCAATTTTCTGAAAGGTTTTTGTACTATTATACTCAGTTGTACTGAGTTGTAAAATATATAAAAAGTAAATTTACCAGTTCGTCATTGATGTACCACCTCAACTCTGGTGCGGGCTTTGATTTTCCAGAATTGCATAAAATAGAAACATTATCACCTAGCTCATAATCAGATTTTTCCTCCATCAGCACAGGTCCATCGGATGGTGGAACTGTCAGAAAAAAAGAAGAATTTTTTCTTGTAATTTAAATGCAATATTCTAAGTAGTCGAAATTCTATATTCTTACTAAATTAATTAGTAATGTATAAAGGCAATTATTTCTTACAACAGTTTAATTCTGTCTGATAGTTTAGACTCTTAATTATAGCTCTAGATGGAATTTTTCGTGAATTTTTTTTTATTAGTGTCGTTATTATGGGTATTGTTAGAAAAGGAGTAAAAGGAACCATTTCTTAAAAGTTTAAGCAAAATCAAATATATTGTTTTTGGTGATCCGTATTTTCCCTTGTATGAATAATTCTATTTTGGTTCAACGATTTATTGCCATTGCAACATTTTAACACAGCGTTTTTACTTTATATAAGCTTCACAATTGCAGTTTAAACATGAAATTTTCGGTACAGAAGCTGTATTTCTGATTTTGCAAAATTTACAAACAAGATTTAGTATATAGTTATAGTTAAAACTGTCATATTCTATTTCGAGGCTCTTATTAAAGAATTTGTTTTATTCCAGTTTGTCTTTAAACAAAATACTGCCTGCAAGATAATCAAATTTAATGTTTACAGTGTAATTAAAATGATTTATCGTACTAGATTTAATGAAATAATTTGCGGCAAAAATAAAGCGAATGTGAAGTCTAATTATTAATGTAAATAACACAAGTGAAACTTTTTACCATCTTTTCTTTATAAGTTCTTAGCTCTAATATTAACATAGCCAAATAAAATCAAAGAATTATTGATTTCAGAAATATAATTATTTAATTTTTTATTATTATATAGTGAATTTAATAAAATGGAATTAGTTTTGTATGTTGCAATTGGGATATTTTGTAAACCCTTGAAAATCTGTTTCGAAATATTGGACAAATATTGACCTGATTGAAGAAAAGTCATAATATGTTACATATAAGACTAAATTACTTTTCCAATTAAAACTTCTTACATTGGAATATGTACGGAATAAATAAAAGAAATGCAATGAAATCCTGAAGATTGATAATGATTATAAAAAAAGCATGCATTATAAAAAGGGCATGCAAAAGAGCATGCAAAAATGTCTAAATTGAAATTTAGTTTGATATATCGTATATTTTAGTTTACAGCATTGCCAGGTGTTTAAAATACAAACTTACCAACTACTTCTAAATGTTTTGTTGTTTGAACACATCTAAAAAATGGTTTGTCAGTTGACACTTGGCAGGTATAATTTCCATAACTTTCAAGACTTAAGTTTCTAAGAAAAACGGTGCTTTCATCAGATTTGGACATCTGTAAAATTATAAAACTTATAAAAGTCTTACATTAACATATTTTCAAAGTCTCATATCTTATAATTTTTGTTCAATTTTTCTTTAAGGATGGACAAAATTTAAATTACAAATTTTTTACTTTAATTTTTTGCTTTTCTTTTATCTTTATAAATAAAGCAGAATGTTTATATTTGTGTATGTATGTACGTTATACGAAACCGTAATTCTGAACTGAACCAGAATAAATTTAGTGTAAATACGTTCGATGACATGACGAGTCTAACTGTTTATACTGTAAAAAATTCCAGATTAAAAGTATCAGCATTCAAATTGCTGATATTTTTAACCGTGAAATCCATTTTTACCGGAACATGTTACAGAACGAAAGATTTGATATGAATTTACGCAGCGCTAATCAATCAAAAATTAGTGCTGTTGCAAGTTCAATTATTAAATTCCTTTTGTAGTTTAATTATTAGTTTTTTTACACACATAATTCAGAGAAATGTACAAACTTAAAGTACCTATCCAAAGTTTACCCATTCAAAAATACTAACTGTATTGTTCTATTGCTTTCCTTTTTGCAAAAGTTCTAGGAGTTATAAAGTGCTGTTATTTTTTCATTATAATAAATCAAAGCCTTTATTTACTGTTTCTTTTTAAATATAGTGTGTAGACCTATTATGAAAAAAAGCACGAAGAATACGAAAATTGAAAATTTAACTGAAAATTAAAGGGTTGAATTAAAAAGCTTTACCACAAAATAGTAATGGAAAACGTTTGAAATTTGAATTTATTATTTAAAAAAACTTTCCCTATGGTGCTATCTTATTCTATACGTGGAATATGTTGGTATAATTACTGTGGTAAGTTACAGTATAACGATTCAATAGAATAAACATACTAATAACTACTATTCCTTTATTTAAAATAAAATATATTACATCTTTTTAATTTACTAGGTACAAATGTTTTAAACAGTGAGCGTTCCTTCCTACCATAATATCCATAAAGGCCATAACATTTTACTTTGCTTGTAATATCATGAGATAATTTTTTGAAAATACGTTACCGAACATTTTTTTTTTTGAAAAATTACCATTTAAGAAATTTCTTAAACATGTATCACAGTAAAATTGTAATTAGAAAAGAAAAAAAAAATAATAACTCACAAAATCCTGACAATATCACGGAAAAGCTGAAAAAAGTCTAATTTTTTCCCATGTGACAGAAAATTTTGCAATTACACTTTAAATGCATTGAATAACCAGCACAAAAAACCACGTAGCCTCAGAAATCAAAAAATGTAATTTTGAAACGTTTTAATTTTTGCAGACAATAGAATATTTCTGAGGTGATCTTTTTTAAAGGCATTCGTAATATTATCTTTAAAATATTTCCGGAGTATTTCAGAAGTGTCACAATTACACCAGAAATATTTTAATTGTGGTTTTCAAATAGAGTATACATTTTTACATGCTCAAGACGTAAATAAAAAAATTTCTGATACTTTTTTTAAACGCTCTGCAACTAAACTATGTTTATGTAATTTAACTTATTTAAGAATAAATTTCAAACAATTGTGATGTTTGTTATATTTCCTTCAAAGTCTGTATTATTTATTTCCTTGAATTTTTTTTAAAATCTTTCTCTTCAATTGATAAGCACATTTTTTGGATTTTCGAAACATCTCAAAATGATATGTTATAATATTGTTCATAGTTGTAATATTATTCATAAATTCAAATTTTCCATCTAAATATTATTTGATCTGAAGCATAGCCTATTTTCCCTTACAATATATAATTGATTTCTATTCTACCAATGTAAAATTTTTTTTATACTTTCCTTTCGTATTTTTTGCGTTTCCATATAGGAATTACACATGAGAAATAAAAATAGGATTGAAAACGTTCACCCAATGGGACCATGAAAGAGAGCTTACTTATTGAGCATCGAATCGAAAAAAAAAGAAGAAATAAACGGATAGAAAATGGTATCAAGAGCGGAAATACTCTGACATATCCTTAGAATCGTAAAAGAACATTTCTTTCTAAGAAGCAGTTGCGATTCGAAATGTATCAGCGAAATATTCTTACTCGTTCTACCCTTTCAAAGTATACTAAGTGAAAAGAAAATTCCATTTTGCGAAATTGGAAAAATCTCGAAATCTAACCACAAAAAAGTTCGCTAATAGCAATAAAAAACTTTATAACAAACGAACGCTTCAAGCGAAGTAGAGGAAATAATCTTAGAAGTGACTTTTTGGAAAATACTTTTTTAAACAGTCGAATTCAGAAATCTGTTTTTAACTGAATTGAAGCATACTTCTTTTAGATGTGGCGTTCACATATTTAAAATATAAGTCATTAACATATACGTTTGGTACAATTTTTATGAAAAAAAAGTGGTTAGTGAAGTAAAACTCCATTATGCGATTTGTGATGAACTACTTAGTATGACGAAAACTCAGTTTTCGTTTAAAAAAATATATCAGTTGCCGTATGTGAAATTGTTCTCTTTTATGTAAAAATAAAATACACTCGTCATATTTTTT